AGAACAGTTTGTTGTGAGGATTTGCCGCCGCCCTGTTGGCCACACACGTGGGCTGTGTCTAGACTGGCAAGTTTATCCACAAAATAATCTGATTTTGCGGAAAAACTTGCCAGCTGTCTACACTGACTGTTTGGATTTCCACAAGAACACTGACGATCTCATGTAAGATCGTCAGTGTTCTTGCGGAAATACTGTGCTGCTCCCGTTCGGGCAAAAGCCCTCTTGCGCAAATCATTTGCGCAAGAGGGCCAATGTAAACAGCACAGTACTGTTTTCCGCAAAAAAGCCCCAATCGCGAAAATGGCGATCGGGACTTTTTTGCGGAAAACCGCGTCTAGATTGGCCACGAATGCTTTTCCTCAAAAAGTGCTTTTGCGGAAAAGCGTCCTGCCAATCTAGACGCGATTTTTCCAAAAATGCTTTTAATGGAAAACTTTTCTGTTAAAAGCATTTTCGGAAAATCATGCCAGTGTAGACGTAGCCATGTAGAGCCAGAAATTCCTTTCCCTGAGCACCCTCTGGCTCCATGGTCCTTTATTGATGCCCCCAAGGTCCCAACCATGGCAGGGCCCCTGTGTGCTGGACGCTGTACAGCAGAGATACGTGACTGTCCCTGCCCCAAAAAGCCTGAAATCTACGAGACAAGATGCAACACGTAGATGAGGTAGATGCATGCAGGAAACCATCCACGTGCTTAGCCGGATGCTTCCCGCCTGGCACCGCTGGTGGGGGGGAAAGGCGGAATTAGCGTTGCACTGAAGTAAGATGCTTTTGCGGAAAAGCGTCCTGCCAATCTAGACGCGATTTTTCCAAAAATGCTTTTAATGGAAAACTTTTCTGTTAAAAGCATTTTCGGAAAATCATGCCAGTGTAGACGTAGCCATGTAGAGCCAGAAATTCCTTTCCCTGAGCACCCTCTGGCTCCATGGTCCTTTATTGATGCCCCCAAGGTCCCAACCATGGCAGGGCCCCTGTGTGCTGGGCGCTGTACAGCAGAAATACGTGACTGTCCCTGCCCCAAAAAGCCTGAAATCTACGAGACAAGATGCAACACGTAGATGAGGTAGATGCATGCAGGAAACCATCCACGTGCTTAGCCGGATGCTTCCCGCCTGGCACCGCTGGTGGGGGGAAAGGCGGAATTAGCGTTGCACTGAAGTAAGAGGCCCAATAGACTGGGGAGGTCTGCCTTGGAGAGGATGGGATCTGTGGTGCGACAGAAGAGGCGGGGCCAGTAGAGCGAGAGAGGAGGAGAGCAGTAAGCCAAGGAAAGGACTTTAGCAACCCCGTTCTGGGAGGGCTGCGAGGTTGCTGGTGTCCAGGCCCGAGACGAAGAGCGATGAGCAAGGCGTGGGCAGGAGTCCGGGCCTTATGGGCAGAGCTACGGGTCAGGCCGGAGGTGCGGGGCTGGAAGAAGTGGCGAGATGGGAACATGGCTTGGATGTCTGATTGAGGTGAGAGGGCCTGGTCAGAAGCATGAGCGAGAGGCGGGCATGTCCGGGAGAGAGCCAGGGTAAGCCAGTTGACCACTCGGCTCCGTGGGAGCTTTCAGAACGACAGGCCGTGTCCTGTTGTGGCCAGGAGGGAAGAGAGCGGGGTTTCCATGTCCCGGCAGCTGCTTTTCAGGGGAGGCGGGCTGAGCTTCCTGCAGCCCAGGGAAAGGGAGTGGGACTCATTTTTCCCATCCATCATGTGGCTCTGCAGCCTGCATCTCTGGGGCCAGGAATTGCCCTAGCCAGGCAGGGCTGCCCCAGGGGTGGTATTTAGCGGGTGTCTCCCGGGCCTCAGCTGACTCGGAAAGGTTCAGATATTCAGCGTCCTTCGTTCATTGCCAGCTTGAAGCCACTGGGGTAGGCCCGTGGCTGGCCTGTGCCAGTTGACTTGGGTTAATGGCGGTGTGGACCTTCGGGCGGGTGAATGGCTACAGCAGGAGTGGACAGGCCCAGGGGCCCGATCCAGCAGGCCAGGCATTTCCCTCCGGCCGCCCAGCCGCTTGGCAGAGGCACAGACTTCAGCCGGGAATGTGTTTCCACTGCCCCTCCTCTGCCCTGCTCCCTCCTGCCGCCCAGCTGCTCCCAGGATTCTCCCGCCAGCTGTACAGCATGGGGGAGAGGAGAGCTGAAGTCAGGGCGTCCTCCTACCCCTGTGGCCAGCTTTTCAGCACGGGGGAGGAGAGAGGGAGACCCAGTGGAGCTGCTCCAGGCAGCAGCATGGCTGGGGAATGTGTTTCCACTGCCCCTCCTCTGCCCTGCTCCCTCCTGCCGCCCAGCTGCTCCCAGGATTCTCCCGCCAGCTGTACAGCATGGGGGAGAGGAGAGCTGAAGTCAGGGCGTCCTCCTACCCCTGTGGCCAGCTTTTCAGCACGGGGGAGGAGAGAGGGAGACCCAGTGGAGCTGCTCCAGGCAGCAGCATGGCTGGGGAGTGGGGAGCGGCTGTCTTAGAGGCCCAGCCCTGGTTGTAGGATTTCAGCGCTGGCTCTCATGCCCTTGCTCACCTCCACCCCGCCACCTGTGCAGAGCAGGGGAGGGGGAGACAGCAGAGCAGGGCAGCGTTCCCTGTCTTAAAGAGACAGCGCATGGTTTCTCTCAGGAACGTACCCAGCCGCAGCAAGCGCGCGCACACACACACAGTCACCGTCACACACACACACATGCTCCATCTGTCACAAAGTCTGTCTCTCTTTTGCCCTCTGTCTCTCTCTAGCCCCCCATCCCTTCTGGGGGCCTGGAGCCGGCTCGCGACCACAGACCAAAATTCACAAAGTGGTGCCCTGTGAAAATGATTGCCCGTCCCAATCTGCCCCCAGCAGTTACCCAGCCCCTTGGCACAGCCAGCGGGCATGAGCTGGTAGCGAGTGTCTGCACCATAGACACACCTCTACATACCCCCAGGCGTACACGGGTCTCTGGTTTGCATAGACAATTGCCCAGGGAGGTTGTGGAATCTCCATCTGTGGAGATATTTAAGAGCAGGTTAGATCAATGTCTATCAGGGATGGTCTAGACAGTATTTGGTCCTGTCATGAGGGCAGGGGACTGGACTTGATGACCTCTCGAGGTCCTTTCCAGTCCTAGTATTCTATGATAGACAGTCCCATGGAGCAATACCCCCTTGGATGCAAACCAGAGGGCCATGTAGCCCTGGGGGTATGTACAAGTCTCCTATCTGCTCATCTAGATATTTGCCTGTTACAACCAGCTCCAGAAACAGCCCTAGCAAAGTCAGTCCACGCTGAACGGTCGTGCAGTGACTTTATACTGGCCTATATACTGTAAGTCCAGTGGATGTATCCTAGTGGATGTATTGTAGAATTGCCTGGTACGAATGAGGAAATCAGCCCTTCTTCTGTCGGAGAGCGCCGGGCCATTTCGATCACTTGTAAGTCGTGTTTAAGTCAGGTGAAATTCAGGGTACGCAAGACAGATCCGCCTCCAGAATGGGGTCCAGTAGCCTGGAGAGATGGAGCCAATGCTCCAAAGGGTTCTCTCCAGCTCTCTTTCCTAGGGCAGTGGTTGGCCTTTGACCCATCCCGCTCAACACAGACCTTTCTGCGGACCACCAGCCAACCACTCATGATGACAACATGGGTGCAGGAGTGGTCTGAGTATGTGGGGGTCTGGGTAAGAGAGGGTGCAGGGGGTCTGGCCAGGAAGTTGGGTGCAGGAGCAAGCTGGGGTGGGAGTTTTTTAAGGGTGGGTGTAGGAGTGGGGTGTGTATGCAGGATCTCAGCAGGAGGGGGTGTTACCCGGGTTTTTTTCAACCCAAACCTCTCGGTAACTTTACTCTCTGCGAGGTGGTATCAGGAAAGAACTCGGGGGAGACCCGGCCGTCCGACCGACGGATGGTACAAACAGGACAACACGAGTGCTTTCACTTAAAGCTAAACTTTACTT